GGGGCAGGGTGCTGGCCCAGGTGCCAGGGTAGGATGGAGCCCAGGTGGCCAGGATGGCCCAGGCAGTCTAACCTTTCATCCAAACCTCATCTACAGAAATCCTGCCCCGCTACCCCAAGGCAACAGCCCCTCACCCCACTCATCCTGACAAGCCCCCCTCAACAAACACACACACACACTTCAGCCTCCCTGTGTCCAGCAGTGAGACATACAGCCTGCCCTATCCCATAACCCCCTTCTGTTCTATCCTAGCCCAAGATGGCTAGGACCCAGTCTCTCCTCCCTCTTGCACTCAGTCATCTTGAGTCCCCACTCGCAGCCTCTCGGCAGCTTTCCCCACCACCTCCGAGACCTCCTGCCCAGGACAGCGCCCTGCTCTGGTCCCCCGACTCCTGTCCTCCTGTCACCCAGCACCAGGATGGTCTAGCAGTGCTTCCCTTGCACCATTGCTCAACCATCATCTACCAGGAAGCTCTATAGCTGAGCCTTTAGACACTGCAGGCGGAGCAGAGGACACGCTGCCTCCCTGGGCCCGCGAGGGCACCCTGCCCAGCACACTGGGCACCCTGTCAACTCTGCCAGGCTCCCTTGTGCTTGCCTGGCACCTGGCTCCCAGGCAAAGGGACTCCTGGCCTAGCCAACACCTGTCTGCATGCCCTCCAAGTAAACCCCTGCCCACCCCATGGGCAGGAACTTCTCCCTGTCCAAGTGGCTCAGGGAGGCTTCAGCTGGGTGGGCAAGGGACCTGGCTGTCACCTTCACTTCTCCTCCACAGGAACCCCTCGTGAGGCTCCCACCCAAAGGTGCCCCAACCAAACCTCTGCTCCCCAAATTCAGACCAGCTCTCACTGGACCAAGGGTGCTTGTATGTAAACAGAAACATGTGCAGAGATAAGCACGTGTGTGTGCATACATATGTGCATACACACACACACACAACAATGATGCTGCAGAGTGATAGAGGGTGGACTTGCACCCACACACCAATACAACTGCATGTCCACAGGGAACATGTGGATCCAAATAAAACCAACGGATCCTTCCAGCTACCTCTTCTGGGGACCCACGACACATGAAGCCAGGGGACAGTGCTGGGTGGACAATTTTGGGGCTGGCCAGCCCAACACTGTCCCGGGACCAAGACTTTGGAGCCGACCCCATTAGACCCATCAGTGTCCCGTTATTCATTCCAAATGTACACGGGGAAGCAACACCGTAACTGCTAGAACCATCTGGGGCTGGCGCTTCCTGCCACGCTGTGGCCACCCACCACGAGGAAAGACTCACCACTGAGGATCTCGTTGTTGCTGCCCCAGAATTCTGCCACCTTGGATGGCCTGTGGTAGAATTCATCCCTGTTGGATGCCAGGATGAGCCTGAGGAAGAAAGCACGACTGAGACTCTCGGGTCAGAACAGAGAAGCCACGGTCTTCTCTCTCTAGTGAACAAGGAAAATTGGCCTCAGTAACAACGTGGGCAAGTCCCAAAGACAACAGGAACCCCGCACCCTGACCGCATTACCCAGACCTCTTCCGGCAACATAGACCAGCCAGTGCAAGTGGGGCTCCCGCACCCCAAATTCTTCTGCCCCCTGATCCTCTGTCAGCCCACAGGGATGTGCCGCTGCCGGGGCCCACTTCACCCCTCCGTCCCGCCCACACAGGCATCTTTAGAGGCTGAGTCTTAGTGTGTTTGTACAATCTGCACATCGGTTCAGGGTCTTTACCACCATTGGGTACTCCCTCCAGCGCCCACGCTGAGCGACCACGGTCTGAGAAGCACTGCCAGGCCTGTGCAGCTCGTCCCAGGGCCGCCCTCCCCCCGCCTGGGCAGCAGCGGCATGCCTCTCCTGCCTGGGCCACCTACATGGCTACTGTGACCTGTGGGGCACCCGAGGCTGAGCAGAGGGCGGCAGACTCAGAGTGAGGGGTTACCTGTACGCATTTTTGGAAACAGGGCGAGGATCGAACTTAAAGAAGATGATGCACATGGGTCCCGGAGGGTGGCTTTGCTCACACAGGGTTACACAGTCTGTGGGGAAAGGAAAAAAGAAAATGATTTGAGTAACCAGCAGACAACAGATCCACCGTCCCAAACCTGCAATGTTCTTTGAACAGAACCAGCTCTGTAATGCCCCTGGCCTTCCCTAGACATGCCAGAGTCATGTGCCCAACGGCATGACGCTCACCAGCGCTGCACAGCCGTCTCCCTGCCAGCACCCCATGGGCAGGTGGGCGGGCAGCAGGGGCTACAGCCTCAGAGTATAAAACAGCCAAGGAGGGGCGAAGGCCCAAGGCTGTCAGCACGAACACAACCTCAGCTGAGAGCCACTCTGAGGCTGCCTAGCTCCTAGGGCCTTCTTGTGGATAATGCCAGGGTGTTCCCACCGCTCCACTCCCTTCTGCTCTCTGGTCTGGCTGGGGTGAGAGGTAGGGGGAAGAACTGACTCCACCACTATCTCCACTGGTTCCCACAAGCCCTGGAGGGTCCCCCAGGACTTGGCCCCCTGGCCCCTTCAGGCATGGGCAAAGGTGAGGGCCACAGGGGAGCTACCTTTGCCCTCAGTAAAGCCTGTAGCTATGTGAGGTGTTGCCATGGTGACTAGCAGAAGTGCAAGGTGCTAGGGGGTGTACAGCCATAAGCGATGGGCTGCTGGCCACCAGCCCAAGCTGACAGGAGCGGGCTGGGTTCCCATCCGTGGGCACCCTGACCATCCCAATATTTGTAGGCAGACTGATGGAACCAACATTCTTGGTAAAAACTCAAAATGCTTGAGAGAATGTGAAAACATCTTAAAAGCAGCCAAGAGCTAACTGGTCATGTAGACTTTAGCCAACATCTTGGAGAATGTAGGAATCCAGAGATGGGAAAAACAGAGATTGGAGCAGTCCTGCCCTGGGGCACTGACTCATCTGGGCAAACCTGGCTCTGGTGACCCTGGGAGGGAGGGACAGAAGACAAAACCCAGGACTGCCTCAAGGTGGGACCTCGTAGGAAACCCTCCAAGGGAAGCTGGAACCCCGAGGAGCAACATTCAGAGGGCCAGGGTGGGCTATAGCCACAGCCACCAGGGGCGGCAGGGACAGCCTACAAGGGAGGGAGTCCTTGAGGAGCTCCGAGAGTGGAGCCAGGGCCACACCAGGGGTCCAGGAACCCTCACACCAAGACGTGGTTTGAGGAATCCCACACTGGGCACCTAGCAAACCAAAATTCTCATCTTCACCCCAGACCTCCAAGAAGCCTCACAAATAATTTCTAGGACAAAGCAGTACACAGTCAGAAAGAGCCGCCTAACAGAGCAAAGCACCAAGCACAAGAACCAGCAGAAAGAGATCCCCGCACGTCTCGTAAACTAACCACACTCTCATCGCAGAAAACAGGGAGCTTGGGAATATCCACAGAGAAAAAGGGGTTCACGGAGCACCAGAAAGAACTTTCTCAAGTGGGAGGTATAGATAACCACGAACTACAACTCAGCAGTGGATTTAACTGCAGGTTAGACACAGCTTATGATGAGTCAGCAGAATCATCCAGGACATGGTACAGAGACAGGAAGCATGCTGGGCCTCCCAGGACTCCAGGTACCCCACCCACCAGGCACCCAGCATTGCCACCTGATCCTAGTCTGACACAGAAGACACAAGTCTCCTCACCCCAGAGGAGCTGGTCTCTCTCAGGCATAAGCATGCTCCAAGCAAGGCTGGCTGGCGGTGTCTGTGGCACCCAGGCTGCCTCGGTCAGTATGGTAGGAGCCCTGCCAGGCCATCCCTGCTGGAATCCCACTGGTCCAGAGCCCCACCGGGTCGAAGGGCTATTCTGAAGGCTGTTCCACTAAGGATGTGCCACTCCGGACTGTCAGAGGAGGAGGCCACCATGTCTGCCTGGACCTACCGTGTCCCCCCCTGAGCTGGGTGCCTGGCCACCAGGTGAGGCCACTGGCAAAGGGCAGGTCTGGCCACTGATGCTCACAGGCCATATAGAGACTCGGCTGCAGGACCCCGCTATCCTAGCTGGCCCAAGGGAGTGGCAGATCAGCCTCCAGATGCAGCAGAGAGGGTTCTGTGGTCAAAGGAAAGGCCGCCAATGGGTCTCCAGGCAGCCTTGTGCCAGAGGTGTGGGCACAGAGAGCCCAGGGCTACAGCCTCGATGAAAACGCAGTCATTGGGAGGGAAGGACCAGAGGAAAGCCAGCCCCTGGGGAGGGGACCATCAGGAACTGCCTTTCTCTCCAATCCCTCACCCCCCCACTCAGCCAGGCCCGCTGCCCAGAGGTCCCTCCCCTTCTTCGCTTCATTGCCCACCTGCAGCTGGGGGGAACCCACATGTGTAGAGCAGGGCTAGCGCTTCCCACATGCACCGGAAGTCCCTGCGTACACCTTGAAGTGTGAAGCGAAAGGAAAAGGCCCTCTTCAAACCGAAGCCAAGAGCTTCCCGTCCTATCTAAGAAAGCCAGTGGAAATCTTCCCAGCTCACAGCGCGGCGAATCTGGCTTTGCCCCGGTCTCACCACCTGGTGATTCTGAAGCTCAGGAAGAATGGGTCGCGGATTTGGCGTGGGTGCTGGCTACAGAGCACAGAAGCTTTCGAGGCGCTCACAGCCCATCTGCTGACAGCGCTGTTGAGAGTTCTCCTGGCCAGCTTCGTCCTGCTGCTCACTCCCTGCCTCTGAATCACCCGCTCCAGCTGGCGCCTCCTTCCTCCTCTCCTGCCTCAAGGAGGACCAACAGGGCTGTTTCCCACAGCCAAGTGGAGCCAGGTAAACTGCCTCTGTCAGAAGGCTCGGGCTCTTCAGCGAGTCGAGCTTCAAGCCTGACTCCGCGTGGCATCTCACAAGAGCACAATGAGAAAATGACAGGCAGGCCTGGCCAAATCAGGTCAGGGTAATATGCCAAGAGATGCAGCGATGACTGCAGTGGCTCAGGCAAGGGCCACGGGGTACATAACCTGGCACCGTGATGGCCTGGTCCACAGCCTGCTGACCAACAGTGAGGATCTGCTTCCCTGCTACCCCCATAGCACCCCCCGCCCCCCCGCCGCCCCAGCACAAACAGGTGGGTGAAAGGCAAGGTGAGCCATCGATCTCATGGAGGCCACTGGGAGAGGAGGCAAGAGGGGCCGGAGCGCCACCGACAGGGCCTCGTTGTCACTGCCAGCCCAGATGGAGAAGGACCCAGCAGGGGGACCCGCAGGCCTCAGCACTGCTGGGGGTGGTCCAGTCCCTACCTGGCTGCCCGCCTCACCTTGCGGGGCGGCTAACAGCATAACGCACTGACTGCTGCCACCGACCCAGTGCCCACCAGCCCCACCTCCTGCAGCGTTTGCACCAAGGGCATCTCCCTTCCCCTTCCTCCCAGCACATCTGTCCTCTCACACCCGAGGCAGGCTCATTGGCCCAGCCTCTCTGTACCTAAGCCCAAAGCTCCACACCTCTTGCTGGCACAACCAGCAGCTCCTGGGGGCCAGCGGTGTCTGTGGTTGTGGTTCCCACTCCCAGGTCGCTCAGAAACACACTCTCGTGTGGAAAATTTCCGAACTCTGCACAGCCAGCAAAAGCCCCATCTCCAGTCAGCTGCGTGCTTTCACGTCTTTCTCAGCAAAGTATGAGGCCCGGGGCTATCTGACAGGTGGAATGTCGTTGCCCATCTTCCTCCCCCAGGACTGGCTATGCAGGAAACTGGACAAGAACAGACCCAGCCCAGGCTCAGAATAGGGACCAAGCACTGCTGGGCTGTTGCGACTTCTGCACAATATTGAGCTGACACCAAAGTCACACCAGGTGTGGACGGGGGCTGGGGGTGGGGTGGGGCCAGAGGGGTGAAGGGGACCTGCTCCCTGATTGGGATCACTTCCCTTTATCAACTAAAAAGGCAAGCAGGGCATCTGGTCGGAGGGGAGATACGAGGTCAGAATGTAGCAATGCATGGCAGAGACGCACGCCAGTGAATGACGAGGTGTTTTTGCCACAACACAGAGCCAATGGGGCAAGACACTCAGGAAAGTGAATCTCCCAGTTCACATCCAATCAGCATTAAAAAAAAAAAAAAATCAGGCCCTAGCCAGTTTGGCTCAGTGGACAGAGCACTGGCCTGTGGACTGAAGGGTCCAGGGTTTGATTCCGGTCAAGGGCACATGCCCAGGTTGTGGGCTCCGTCCCCAGTGTGGGGCGTGCAGGGGGCAGTCCATCGGTGATTCTCTCTCATCATTGATGTTTCTATCTCTCTATCCCTCTCCTTCCTCTCTGAAATTAATAAAAATATATATTTTTTAAAAAATCAGTGTCCTATCCAGCTGCACATGCTAAGGCTCTGGACAGAGGTTAACTGGACCCTAGAGTCAGGTCCAATTTCATTACGCCGAGCACGTTACACATTTGGGAATACACTTTTAAGTCTAGCCAGCCTGTCTATCTAGTCTTGAGGAGCCGTGCAGAGGATGCGATTGCTCAGGCTCCCCGCATGATGGCTGCAGAGCCGGGCACCTCCTCCCCACCCTGTAACGGTTCCCAGGGGCAGAGCTAGAAAGCATAGGCCCGCTGCTCTTTTCACTTGCTGCCTGAAGTCCTCCTAGTGGTTGCCAGCAGAAGAGGTAAACACACATGGGTACACAGTGTCGCTGTTCCCAGGCCTTGGCTGAGAAAGCCCTGACGTCTGTAAATATTCTAAGCAGCCGGCCTGCTGCAGTGCTCCACCCTCCTCACCACTCGGGGACTGAGGACTCCTCGATCTACACTTTGTCGTTTTGACTGTTAAGTGGCATTTCACCATTGACAAATGTTCTACAGTGATACTCTCGCCTAAGATCTTTGAGATGTTTCAGGAGCAATGATTCAGCCTCACACCACGTGTCATTGTCCCTTCGCAGTTCAAAGGAGCAGCACAAAGGAGGGACAAAAGTGAGCACTGAGGAATGCTCCGGTCATGAGGTGGCCCCTGCACCTCGGCCTCTCCTGCAGGAACCCTGGCTTCCCTGAAAGCCAGCCAGGCCTCACAGTGGCCCCTGTGGCCTGCCTGCATGGTTAACACAGGAGAAAGGGGCCACCTTCCCCCCAACCCTTCAAAAGAGGATGAAAGCCAGCGCTAAAAGTTGGCATGGTCCTGAAGACCTCAATAGATGAACCCAAGGAGAAGCAGCCACCAGGAGACGGGGGTCGGTTTTTTACTTTTAAGTGCACATATATTCTGCAATCTAAAAAGAAAGCTGTGCCGAAACCGGCTTGGCGCAGTGGATACAGCGTCGGCCTGCAGACTGAAAGGTCCCAGGTTCGATTCCGGTCAAGGGCAGGTACCTTGGTTGCAGGCACATTCCCAGTGGGAGATGTGCAGGAGGCAGCTGATCAATGTTTCTCTCTCATTGATGCTTCTAACTATCTCTCTCCCTTCCTCTCTGTAAAAAAATCAATAAAATATATTTTTTAAAAAAAGAAAGAAAGCTGAGCCCAGCTCAATGGTTGAGTATCAACCTACGAACCAGGAGGTCTCGGTTTGATTCCTGGTCAGGGCACATGCCCGGGGGTGGGGGCTTGATCCCCAGTATGGGGCATGCAGGAGGCAGCTGATCAATGATTCTCTCTCATCATTGATGTTTCTATCTCTCCCTCTCCCTTCCTCTCTGAAACCAATAAAAATATATTTAAATAAATAAATAAATAGAAAGTGTGACAGAGAAAGGAAAAAGCTGCATTGATAATATGAAAGGGCAGCTCAGTAGTTCTGGGGTGGCCTATTTTCACAGAACCCATCATCGAACCCCATGGTCCAGATCAACAAATGCCAGGCTCTGCAGTGCTGTCCTCACATGCCGACGGAAATGTTAGCGAAGGATGGACTCTGTTCTCGAACTGGAGCACCAGTGTCAACATAGCCCCACTTATAGAAGCCTCCCAGTTTCCCTGCCCCGGGGGCTGTTTCCCTCCAGACAGGCTCTGGGGTCCCCTCATCTCCTCAGTGAGTCTGCCCTTTCTTACGGAGGCCTGTGGTCCGAGAACACAGCACACGGCTGCACCCATGGGGAAACAGTCAAAATGAGAGTCATCAAATGAAAACACGAAGGAAGCATGGGGCAGTAATAGCAGCTCAGGGGCTGGGCCGCCGAACAGAGGGGCTGGCCTATTGCCTGCGTTCAGGGAAGGACTATCATCACCACATGCTGGAGCAGGCAGTGGCCTGGTCTGAAGGTCCTGCCAGTCTGTGGACACATCAGAACACGAAGCTGCAGGACTGGGGTATTAAATAGTCAGGGGCCTGAGGGTAAAAGCCACAGAGCCAACCACCCTGTCCCACGGGAACGCTGGGACCCTAGAGAAGAGGGTTGGAGGCGGACAGAGGCTCTGCTGTGTCCACCTGCCTACACAACACAGCCATCCTCTCCAGTTGCCACCTGACAGGTCACATGATACACGAAGGCTCCTGGGAGAGAGACCCAGAAGGAGTAGCGGCACCAGGAGCCAGCCCCGACTCTCTGTGACCTTGGGAACA